CTCGGAATTTGGAGGATCTCCAGCTTTAAAGTTTGTCTTCATTTCCGAAAAACCCTTTGCGCAAACTGTTACGCAAACGCCGTTCGCGCTGGGCAAGGACATAAATCTCTCGGTGTACCTAGAAACCGCATTTGATCGGCACGGGCCCGGTTTCTGGGTCGAGGGAGAAAGCTCAACTCGAACGTTTGATGTTACAGTTTTCGCATTGCAATGTTCTATTCCACTTTGATTCCTATACGAAATTCCACAATAAAAATACGATATTAAACATATATATATATATTTGATATGTGAATTTCGTTAAAATAAACATGAAATATAATCGTGGAATTCATCCTTTACGATATTTGCAAGGTAAATTGAGAAACTTCGATAGATCAATTAGGAAAATCGAGAAATCTGAAAAAAATAATGTAAGAAAAGTTCATCCATAAGAAATCTGAAAAGAGATCACGAAAACAGATGAAAATATTATTTTTCGACCATTAGCTTGATTGCCGAAGTAGCTTCAGCAATTGATACAGATGTCTTTCAATCCGTTGTTGTCGGAATCACGGAGGAGGGTTTATTTTCGTGTATTCCCAACCATGTTTCATACATTATTACTACTCCGTGTGTGTCTCTTCTCTCCGTCCTCAATCAAGATTTCCAAACCCTCTCTCATCGTCTTTTATTAAAGGTTCTTCCTCTCCGTGGAAGTAAAGCGAAACACGGTCGACGAACCCTAATCCCCTGTCTGACTCCGACGGCATTTCGATATGTATACCAATATTTCTAATGGGCCCCTGTCTCTTCCACGTAATAAATAAATCCATTTCTATACTTCAATCTACGACAACAACGGATTTTTGAGCGAATCTTCTCTCCCTGCACGGATTTATTTGTGCTTAATCAAGAAAATTGGTGTTTTGACAAGAACATATTAATTTTAGTTACATTTACGTCTAGAATTAGACTATAGGGAAAGGTATAGTTCCTTGAGGTACACCTGTTAACATGAGATAATGAACATCCTGGTTACTATAAAATCAACTGTTTATGTTTCATCTTTCTGATGAGGGTGTTAAAGTGGAATTGCAAATAAATCCATTCGAGAGGGTGGTTTTTGCGGTAAATTTGCATTAAAATATTCATGGCCTACTCCGGCCCAAAGACGTATCCCGAAGGTATTAACATCATTTGGGTTATGGCGTCCGAACTTCCAACAGCCCTCTGCGATAATTGAAACACACACACATACCATCAACCTAGCGGCACCCTCTTCCACTAATAATAATAATCATCATCATCAGAATCGTGGTGGAAACTTTAAACATTTAATAGGATTTCGAGCCGAATATTTTGTTGTTGGCGCCGAGACGCCGCCGCTCCGAACAATTTTAATAAATTGGAAAACTTTAAATGCACGTCAACTGTGTGTACGAATTCTCCGACTTGATACGTTCAAGTTTTAATTGAAACGCTTCATATCTAAATTGCATTCGTTTGCGGTATTTTTTTTGTAAGTATCCCACACTGCAAATATTTGCAGTGCGGCAATTCACAGACACTCGCCAACAACCTGAAAATAATTGCATTATACAGAATCTTGTTTGAAACTTAACATATGGTTAAGTTAAGAGACAACAACTCTTACACAAAAACCGACAATTTTGTTTGTAAATTTGAAACATGATTTGCAAAACCGATAACTTAATATGTAACTACATTTCTTAATATTTTAAATACCACCTACTCAACTCTTAACAAACCTCGTCTAAATTAAGTTAAAATCTGCTTAACACCAGTTGCTGTTGTTTTTCTTTGTTTGCGTGATCCTTAATTGGTACATTAATTACGTAAAGAGTGGAGCGAGTGAAGCGTAGCGGTTAAGAAAACATTTGGTGTCGAAGTCGTTGTCGACGTTTGCTGTGCTCGTCGTAGATGTAAAAGTGTGGGGGAGGTTCTGGCATTTCGTCGTAATTACCCTAATACATTGGTGCTGGTCGTAAATGAAGAGTTCAAGAGGTTAAAGCCGGGTTTTCGGAGTCGTTTCGTCTCCGAATAAACCTAACCGAGGCGAGACAGGGATGGGATGTAACGACACGAATTAAAACTAATTAGAATATCTCCGAATCTCTTCATCTATTTCCATCCTTTCAATCTTCATTTCCCAACCAGAAAAATAAAATGATGAGACATAAAAATGCTTCTTCTGATAATTCTCATTAAGAATTGAATTATTTTCTTGTTAAAGTCTAAACAAGTAATGAGTATTGATGGAAATATCCAATATTATCAAATGTCTTGTGCTTTCGGTTGTACCGGAATCATGGTAATCGCATTTGACGTGTATTCGACAGCCACTTCCTGTTAACGCGTAATCAACGGAAACGCACCTCGTGTGTGGTAACAATTAATATATCACAAGTCTATCTGACAGGTGTCATCGCTTCAGTCAACGTAACGTGTTAAGCAGTCGGACATCTTTTCATTGTAAACTCGATAATGAAAGAAAATGTCCATAAATTTCTATAGAGGATTTTTTTGATAAATTATAAAATTATCCTATAGTTAAATTTATTACAAAATAAAACATTTAAATTAGATTTAATTTTTCCAGTTCTTGAGAATATATGAAGTTGTAATAGATATTGATATAATTTCTTGAAATTATGTTTTTTTTTTATTGAAATTGTTAAACTAGCAATCGAATGTTTTGAAAATGTTAAGTTATAATTAAGTGAAGAATGTTTCCAATTTATGCAATTACATGATAAAACAGAGTTTCTAACTAGGTTTATTTGATTTCTAGTTATGTAATGACATTAGCAGTGTTTCTAAAACTGTGAAATGTAAATTAGTTCTAATGTACACTATAATAGCAACATGATTAACACTTTGCGCATGATTGGCGGTTATATCCGCCCTATACTTTACATATGACTTTGCTTATACAAAATTGTACGCAAGTATAAGGGTTAAATCTAAAATCACAAGTATGCTTCCACGCTAATTTTTTTTTCTGTACAAACTTCATATGTTTCCAATTTATGCAATTACATGATAAAACAGAGTTTCTAACTAGGTTTATTTGTTTTTTAGTTATGTAATGACATTAGCAGAGTTTCTAAAACTGTGAGATGTAAATTAGTTCTAATGTACACTATAATAGCAACATTATTAACACTTTGCACATGATTGGCGGTTATATCCGCCCTATACTTTACATATGACTTTGCTTATACAAAATTGTACGCAAATATAAGGGTTAAATCTAAAATCACAAGTATGCTTCCACGCTAAATTTAATTTTTTTTTTCTAATTTGACTCTATTTGTAGCTGCACCAATCACACTATAGTTAAATTGATTACAAAATAAAACATTTAAATTAGATTTAATTTTTCCAGTTCTTGAGAATATATGAAGTTGTAATAGATATTGATATAATTTCTTGAATTTATATTAATACAACGTTTTTCTTTTGTAAATTCTTGAAATTATTTTTTTTTATTGAAATTGTTAATCTAATGTTTTGAAAATGTTAAGTTATAATTAAGTGAATGTAGTTTGGAGGTAAATAGAGTTGTGAATAGAGTTTTGAGTAACCGAGTATAAAGTTGGTTTGTTATCACTTAAGCATCGAACTAGAAATTGATCCAATTTATGCAATTACATGATAAAACAGAGTTTCTAACTAGGTTTATTTGTTTTCTAGTTATGTAATGACATTAGCAGGGTTTCTAAAACTGTGAGATATAAATTAATTCTAATGTACACTATAATAGCAACATGATTAACACTTTGCACATGATTGGCGGATATATCCGCCCTATACTTTACATATGACTTTGCTTATACAAAATTGTACGCAAGTATAAGGGTTAAATCTAAAATCACAAGTATGCTTCCACGCTAATTTTTTTTTCTGTACAAACTTCATATGTTTCCAATTTATGCAATTACATAATAAAACAGAGTTCCTGACTACGTTTATTTGTTTTCTAGTTATGTAATGACATTAGCAGGGTTTCTAAAACTGTGAGATGTAAATTAGTTCTAATGTACACTATAATAGCAACATTATTGGCGGTTATATCCGCCCTATACTTTACATATGACTTTGCTTATACAAAATTTAAATTGATTACAAAATAAAACATTTAAATTAGATTTAATTTTTCCAGTTCTTGAGAATATATGGAATTGTAATAGATATTGATATAATTTCTTGAATTTATATTAATACAACGTTTTTCTTTTGTAAATTCTTGAAATTATTTTTTTTTTATTGAAATTGTTAATCTAATGTTTTGAAAATGTTAAGTTATAATTAAGTGAATGTAGTTTGGAGGTAAATAGAGTTGTGAATAGAGTTTTGAGTAACCGAGTATAAAGTTGAATTGAATAATATTAATACAACGTTTTTCTTTTGGAAATTCTTGAAATATTTCTTTTATTGAAATTGTTAATCTAATGTTTTGAAAATGTTTAAGTTATAATTAAGTGAATGTAGTTTGGAGGTAAATAAAGTTGTGAATAGAGTTTTGAGTAACCGAGTATAAAGTTGGTTTGTTATCACTTAAGCTTAAGCATCGAACTAGAAATTGATCTCCTCCTCTCGGTTCTCGGTCTGGAGGGTCTTTTGAACTTGTTGAAACGTCCCTCGATTTATCGAGAAGTCGTGTTTCCACGCTCCGACGATCAAAGCGGCGTAGCATTCTCGTAGTCGCGGGAAATCCGTTTTCCCCGCGATTTCCGTCCATTTTTTTCCCTCAATCTCCTTGACTGATGATGATTCTTTAACAATTTTTCTTTCTGAAATTTCTTCATTCAATCAACAAGTCTCGTGTAATGAATGCCTCTGATCGTCCGCGCACCTTTCGGAATCGATTGTGTGGCGCGACAACAATTAAGTGGTAATTAGCAGGTGGCATTTGTGTGTTGAACTCCGAGCGTTTCCGATGGGCCGAACGTGGTTCGCCCTACCTGCATCGAACACAGACATGGATAGCTCTTCGTGCCGTAGACTCGAGTTGTCCGTCGTCGTCGTCGTGCCGTTCTAGTGCTGTTAATGTTGTTGTTGTTGTTGTTATTGTTGTTGTTGTTGCTCGACACCGACAGTTGTCGGTCGGCGTTGAAAGCGGTTACCGCTGCGGATTCAGTTGTTGCGCGACCGGCGCCGCGCGTGCCGTGATTGATGTGCGTCGCGACGTCGACGAAGACGATGGACGGCGCCAAGCGCAGTCCGCGCTTCCGGTCCGTCGACTGCCTGCTTCCTGTTGGCGGATGCTGGGATGCGCCGACACCGCGAGATGATGCGGACCGGAAGCCGAAGACGAAAGCCACGCCGATCCGACGTGCCACAATGTGAGTTGTTCATCACAAAAAACCCACAAAGATATATTTTGTTAACTTGAATAACACTCGAGTTACGACCAATTCGTATCTCGATTATGGAAATACCGTTGCGTTCCAACGAAGCGGAAGATTACTTTTCCGAAGCTATAAAGTCACCACGAATAGAGTTCCCTCATTCCGAGGCTTTTATTCCCTTGTTGTGGTTACGAAACGCGCAATTAACAGCTGCAAATAATAAAGAATGCTTTGGGACATCGCTCTTCCTACTTTTTAATTAATTTACAAAGGAAACCAACGTTTAATTAAAGCAAAACATTCTTCTACGCTTTAAATTTGTCAAATATTCATACAAATTTAATACAGAGATGGCGCTGTAATCGAATTTATTTAGATTGATTTTAAATTAATTGTTAGATCAAGTATGCTTCCACGCTAAATTTAATTTTTTCTGTACAAACTTCATATGTTTGCAATTTATGCAATTACATGATAAAACAGAGTTTCTAACTAGGTTTATTTGTTTTCTAGTTATGTAATGACATTAGCAGTGTTTCTAAAACTGTGAGATATAAATTAGTTCTAATGTACACTATAATAGCAACATTATTAACACTTTACACATGATTGGCGGATATATCCGCCCTATACTTTACATATGACTTTGCTTATACAAAATTGTACGCAAGTATAAGAGTTAAATCTAAAATCACAAGTATGCTTCCACGCTAAATTTAATTTTTCTGTACAAACTTCATATGTATCTAATTTATGCAATTACATGATAAAACAGAGTTTCTAACTAGGTTTATTTGTTTTCTAGTTATGTAATGACATTAGCAGTGTTTTTAAAACTGTGAGATGTAAATTAGTTCTAATGCACACTATAATAGCAACATTATTAACACTTTGCACATGATTGGCGGATATATCCGCCCTATACTTTACATATGACTTTGCTTATACAAAATTGTAAGCAAGTATAAGGGTTAAATCTAAAATCACAAGTATGCTTCCACGCTAAATTTAATTTTTTCTGTAAAAACTTCATATGTTTCCAATTTATGCAATTACATAATAAAACAGAGTTTCTGACTAGGTTTATTTGTTTTCTAGTTATGTAATGACATTAGCAGTGTTTCTAAAACTGTGAGATGTAAATTAGTTCTAATGTACACTATAATAGCAACATTATTGACACTTTGCACATGATTGGCGGTTATATCCGCCCTATACTTTACAAATGACTTTGCTTATACAAAATTGTACACAATTATAAGGGTTAAATCTAAAATCACAAGTATGCTAAATTTATTTTTTTTTGACTCTATTTGACTCAATATTAAGATTGATATGATTTTGCTGTAACTTTAGTACAAACAAGCGTAAGAGATGGCGCTACAATTAATTTGCTTATTTTTTGTAATTATTTTTTTTATTCTTCTCATTAAATTCAAATTTAGATGTATTAGCTTAAATAATAATGAAACAAATATCAATTAGGCAAAACTCTATGGTCTGTACTCATTTGACCTGAAGAAAGAATGCGGTGATGTAAGAATGGATGCTTTCAACGGGAAACGAAAATAAATATTTTTCGAAAACTATGTGGAAACCTTTAGACCATAAACTCTTCCTGCGCTTATAATTAATTAATATTGCTACGGTTGAATGAAAATCCACGTAATCCACGATTAATTAAGGAAAGTCAGTAGGTCGGAAACGGATTGTTTGCACAAATCGTACTAATAAGCAAAGTTTGTATAAAGAAAATATTAAAAAAAAGATCACTTTTGAGGTAAATTGAGTATAAAATTTAGTGGTAATATTTAAATATAATTTCTGTGAAAGTATAAAACTATTGGTTTCAATCGGCACTGGGTGTTAATACCGTATTAACCTTAAAATATTTTAGAAAATTAAGTTTCTATTCATCGAGTTTACGGCAATAATGCCGAGTCGACATGGATCGCATAAATATTTGCAATTTCCTCCGTTTGGAAAGTTGCGATTTATCGGTTCCATTTGAAGATCGTACACATTAAATTTAATAATGCTTCTTCTTGCAATTCCATTTATGAATTACCACTTCGTTGATGAACAATTATAATAAGTATTTCTAAATCTGTACAAATTTCATATGTTTCCAACATGATAAAACAGAGTTTCTAAATAGGTTTATATGTTTTCTAGTTATGTAATGACATTAGCAGTGTTTCTAAAACTGTGAGTTGTAAATTAGTTCTAATGTACACTATAATAGCAACATTATTAACACTTTGCACATGATTGACGGATATATCCGCCATATACTTTACATATGACTTTGCTTATGCAAAATTGTACGCAAGTATAAGTTTTAGAAATACTGTTATACAATTAAATTTTTTCAATAATCCACTGTTTTATTTATGTATGTTCGAGCAATTTATGCTATTATCTCAGCACGAGATGATTAATAAATCTTAATTTCGTACGCGGAGGAAGTGAGAATAATTGGGTCCGATTCTAATGAATCATTGGCACGGTTTCTAGCGGAATTACTGCACGTTCACTTGATGAATTGCAGGTCAATAATGCGCACTGCGCCGCTCGGGATAAGATCTACCAGTGTACGAATGAATCCACGTGAAAGTGTTGCAGCGTGCAATCGATCATTATGTAACGTGCTGCAAAAAGGAACGCCTAGGTTTTCGGGCCTCGCATTCCTGGAAACGATTTCGCGTCCGCAGAAACACAAATATTATTATTCGCCTTTGTCGTGTTATTCAACAACACCATCATTATCATCATCCGTCTTGGGTTTCTTGTGGTGAATCTGTGGCGAAGTGAGGAACGGAGGACGGAAGGAGTCAAGGCTGTTCTTCTCAAGATTTATTTATTTTTTTCGTAATTTTAAATGCAAATAATCATGGAGCGTGTATCCTGTGGGTATATTCACTTTCATTCTTATTTTACATTATTTACTATTTAAATTCTTCAATTTTCCTCAATTTTATCACATCGAATCCGAGTTTTCTGGATTAAAGAAAAGCGTTTCGTTTCATTGAATGCGAAACTGTTACAGTTTTACTCTTAACTTTACTTTCAGCAATTTATTAGAACGTTTAATTAAAAATTATTCTAACAAACCAATTATTATAAACTACACTTTTTATTAGAACTCAATAAGACCTAGAACGGTACCTTGTGGAACCATACAAAACTATTTATCTATTTTATATATTTCTTCTTGAAGAATATTGTAATTAAGTTTTTCTTGACATTTCTATTAGAAACTTTGGTATTCTATCTTTAGTTGACTGTCAAATAATTTTTGACATAACCTTCAAAATGACACCGATGCGAAATCGTAACGCTTCTTTTGTGACAATTTAATTATAAAATGTATTGAAATTGAATATTAACAATTAAATCTTTCAATTAAAAATTGGAATTGAAAAGTTACGTAATCAACAAAAAGACAACAAAATATGTGTAACAAAAAAACTAGATAGTTTATATTATGTAACTGTCAAATGAAAACTGACATAACCTAATTAGAAAAAAATGACAGCCAAACATAATAGTAACGCTTCTTTTATGTCACTTGATTTGTTAAATAATCTTAATCAAAATATTGAACTGACGTAAAGTATCATGTTTCAGTTTGGTAATGTAATTTATATATTGTGATTAAAAAACCGTACGTAACAGCAAATATAATTCTGATTTGTATCTAATTAACAAACTAAATGAACTTCACGTTAAATCGTGAAAATGTTGATGCAGATCAAAGACCTGGCTCGAATGTTACGTGTGGGCGATTAATGAGAATTACATTAATTACTCGCAAATTAACTAAATTGAATGAACGAGCGAACGGACGAGGCGAGGCGACGTTCGTAAACATGCGTAAATTCCAGTTTAAACTAAAATCCGAATTCGCAAAACATCGGTTAGTTATGTACCAAAACTTCAACAACTCCTTCCGGCTCATTAAACATGGAATAAATTCTTAATTTCAATTTTGAAACACAAATCCTTATGTATAATATGTTTAAATACAGCCCGGAATGAGAATTAGTTTGGAATTACCTATTTTTGCATGGAATTTTTTTGCATGGAAATTAAACAAAGGAGAATCCAATTAACGATTGAGCAAAACGGGGATGAAATTGAGGGCGAAGTTAACTTTTCTTTTTTAATATAAATTTAATTTCTTTGCTTTGTGCTCATTTTCGAACGTCTGCATTAGATTGGGAACGGAAATTTGTGGTACCTGTTCGAAAATTCAGGTACTTCTTTATTTCCAAGAAGCGCACTTATTTACCTGTTGAGGTTTTTTTTTGTCTTCTTCCTTTGTCGATGGTTTACGGCTCTCGGTGTTGGTGGTCGTAAATTCCGATACACAAAGGGTGTTTAATACCCGACAACAAGAGTTACAACTGCTGCTGGTGAATGCGCGGGGGCGGCGCACATTGATATGCTAAATCCTCTCTTCTATCCTCTCTCATCGCGTTTCGCTTTTCCGACACTTCGCAGCCGGCGCATCAAAAATTAACGTCTGAAAATTTGACTAAATAATGCATGCATTGTCTGGGCTGCCGCCGCCCCCAATTTCTGATGGGCAGCTGCCGCCTCCTCCCCCATAAACGCGGGGCGCATTCCAGACTAGAGTATTGATTTCCACCCTTTTCGCACAATGCTCTTCGCTTCCAGTTTGCCGGCGAAATGCAATGGAAACGCGCCACCCTCCTCCACCTCCACCTCTTCACATGCATGTAACCGGTCCGTTTGCAACGCTGGGAAGGGAAAAATGTGTCCAGAAAGCGATCCATCATTCGCATCATCCAATTTCCTTGCAGACCCATTGTGCGAGATCCAATATCGAAAGAGGAAAATGTACTTTTAACCCAACGTCAGATCCCATGAAAAACCACTTCATTTCCGGCGTGTTGAACCAACGGCAATCATCGAAACAATTTATATATTTTTTTTGGTACGGTAATGACTTAACAATCAATTCAAAG